GGGGCTAGTGTTGTAACACCTAATATAATTAGTATGCTAGTCTTCTTGTATCTGGTAGGTTGGCATCAGGGCACCCTGCGTATTAGGAAACGTACTCTACATGGACACAAAAAGGAACCATGGTTTTGACAACCTACCATATGAGGGGTCCTCCTGCGCCCTTATGGTAAACATGCCGTAACAGTCCTCATAGAACTAATGTGATTTTGAAATCTACCCTCCAAAAGCCCTCAACAGTGACTCAAAAGTTAAGTTTCAGAAGCATTCCTCAACACAAAGAGAGATGGAGAGAGAGAGGGATATATATATATATACATATATTGGCATAGCTCGCCCCTCTGCCAGCAGCACAGAAGGATGGGAACCCAGGAGAGTGTAGGGAGTCCCCTAATTTCCTCGAAGGGAAGGTCATTGTTGTTTAAGGAAAGGCCAGAGATGGGGTTTACGGCCCAAAGCATGGGGTCATTTCACTGCAGAGTTGAGCAGGGAGGAGAACTATACAGGAGCCAAATAAGGTCTGAAAAATCTGGGATGATCCCTTGAACCTTGGGGCGCAGCCCCGGCGCATCGCAGAAGAAGGAGCAGAAGAAGAATAAGAAGAAGTGAGCGAGCGAGAGAGAGAGAGAGACTAAGCCAAAGAGAGAAAGGGAAAGGGAGAGAGAGAGAGAACAAAAAAAAAGAGCCTAGGTGCTCAAGCCCATCTCGGGAGCTGCATCCCTGGGCGTCAAGAAGGTGGGGCCTTCTCCAAAGACATCCCTTTGCCTCTGGCCTTACTCCTGATGGAGGAAAATCTTGCACCACCTAAATCTTGCACCACCTAAAGCCTCACAAGTCCCTGAGAAATGTACTAATTAAGGGCTAGAGGACCCTTCATGGCGCAAGACTTCCGACTTTCTTCATGAACAGTATGATGGTATGATCCCCTTCAGTGCCAAGGGCCCTACAAGGATTCCCCCTATTCGGAGATTTCAGAGGTGAGCTCCGAAGAGGACCTGCGGTCGAGCTACGTGGAAGTTATCACGGAGCTGTCGAAACTTGTGGTGTCAAGCGGAGCTCTGACCCAGGATGATGGGACTGGCAAGGGCGTGAAAGCTGAGAATCTGGATTGCTGTTAGGAAAGCAAAATTAAGTTACCATAATAAGGAAGCTCCGTTATTTACTATATACCCATCCCTAAACCCCAAACCCCAAACCCTAAACCCTAAAGGACTTAAGTTCTTCAACAGCAACCCAGGAATGCCATGGACTGCACCATCCTCATGGAGCAGTATCTGGACGGGAAGGAGGTGGACGTGGATGTGGTGATGAGCCAAGGGGAGTGGCGCTACGCTGCAGTCACGGACAACGGCCCCACACTGGAGCCATACTTCAATGAGACTTGCTTCCTCAAAGGCAAAAACTTCACACTTTTTGGGATTGTATAGTTGGTTTTGTTCGAAAAGTTTGAAAGTCTTTGGGCCTGCTTATTGAAGAAGACAGGAAACCTACGCCGTTTGTCCATCGCTCCTCCCGTCAAGTCAGCAGAAAGAGCTCAAGGATCTTGCCATCTCCACTCTGAAGCTTACTGGTTGTTTAGGGTTTAGAGGTTTGAGGCCCGCACAATGGCTTTTCGTGCTGTCTTTAGGGGTTTCGGGCTATGATTTTTCAGACCTTTTGTTAAATATGTTATTATACTTCTCGTATGCCACTGACCAACCCTAAACCCTGTATATCCTCGTACATCCCCAGTTGCCAGTTCGTCTTTCATTGCTTTTCCATTCGACGTTCCATTCCCTACGAACAACCCTTAACCCGAAACCCTAAACCCTCAACCCTACACCCTAGATCCCCGAACCCTACCGAGGAAATGCCTGGGCTTCTCAGATGGCGTTTTTCATGTGGAGTGCAAGTACACTTCACATGGCCCTCACCTGATCGAGGCTGGTTTAGGGTTTAGGGTTTAGGGTGGCTTTGTTTAGGGTTGAGGAGTTTGGTTTGAAGCCCTCAAGGGTTCCAGGGTTGTACCCCTGGGGTCGTACCCCTAAAAGGTTTCCCCAAAACGGACTTTCTATAGCCCTTATATATTCCTCTAGAGCTAAGGTCCCTTAAAAGGACCAGGGGTACAACCCTAGGGGTGCAAGTCTGAACCCCTTCAAGCCTAGATTGCACGTACAGGTTTTTAATAGGGAATAGAAAGTGTAATATAGGAATTGTAGAGGGATAATATTCCCTCATTCCCTACTAATCTCCAGTAAGTTTGGGGTGGAGAATCTTCGGCCCGTGTTGCTTCGTCCTTACTTACCCAGGAAAGCTCCTAGCTAACCCCTATACTTAAGAGCCTCCGGCTCAGTCCGCCGACCGCGGGAGCGCAAATGGTGAGGGCCGCGGGGCAGGGGCATGGTCGCAACGACGCCGCAACAACGGACCCGCAGCCCAGGGCGCGTCTCCCAGGGGCTGGCCTTAGGGCTTTGGGGCCCCAAGCTTGGTCCGGGCTCCAGGCTTGGGCTGGGGCGTCCAGGGGCTTGGGGCCCGGGCCCACAAGGGC